ATGTATATATATATTGAAGAGTGGGCTTGCATGTATGCTCCAAGTAAAATAAAATGCAAAAGCAATGAAAAAACGGTGTACAATCATTGAAAGTTGACTTGCGGAACACAAATTTATTAAGGTATAACAAAATCAAACGGATATTTCGATAGCTCCTGCTATCTTTATCAACGTCAAAGACACAAAAACAGTTCGACACAAAGACAAGATAAACGAAGAATAGGTGTGGAGTGGTATATGAAGTTGGATGCCTAAATTGTAAGCAAGTATACATAGGTGGAACAGGGCACTTAACATTAGAATCAAGGAACATCAGAAAGATGTAGAAGACAATACAAACGGGAATCAAAACACGAGTTGGCAGAAATGCCTGTTAATGAATAACTTGAATCCGCTATTACTGACCATGTCGCAAGAAAACCATTTACCAGACTGGAAAAACATAAACATAATTCACAAAGAATAAAGATAGTTAAACGAAAAATTAAAGAATCGACCAGTATCAGAAAATAGAGATAGACGCACATCCACTCTCATTTTATGAGCAACTCTTAAAGACAACGGCTGGACCCACACACACGTTTTAAAACAATAATAGTTGCTAATGCAAATCGTAAAATAACAACCAGCAAGTAAACTATTTTTTTAAACATTATTTTGGTTAGTATCAGCTATATTGCGTACGCATACAATCAGCCCGTTCAGATTTTAGAAGAAAGTGTAGTAATTCGTAGCTAACATTTCAAATAATCTTTATTGCTTTTATTTACAATGATGTTGAGTTGAATAATCTATCCACGTGTTTCTTTAGGTGCATGAATTCAGCGTAATACTGTAAATGTATATCTTCGCATTTTGACATGATAACGGTTTACATCGAGAATTAGATTTTCCCCATGACATAAACCATTTTCAATGGTCACTTACTGCCGTTTAATTTCTTCAGTTACAGTCATGTGGAAATACCTACACTACTGTAAAATAGCTTTAATTTCACGTAAAAGGAACACATAAACAACCTAGCAACTATAAGCGCTTTACGTTAATGAATTATGGGTAATATTTCATCCGTAAGCCGTTTGAATCATGGAACCACATTGCTCTGTGGCATCACTTCAGATTCGATTTCAACACTTAATCGTTGCTCCATCGCAGTGTACAAGATTCGATTTCAGCAACACGTCAAAACCTTTAAAGCGCAAGTCAACGACTACAAACCTTTGTCCATTTCCAACGTACTAATGTGGTTTCTGTCGTGTTATACTTCATAACATGTTCAATTGATCATGTGACGAAAGTTAATAATCGATGGGCAAAGGCTGAAGAGGAAAGATATCTTCAAGCGAATCGTAAACCACAGAACTCGTATTGCAGATGAAAAACGATTATTGCTGTATATGCCATTGAAACGGAAGCCAGACTAAGTAATAGTATTGATAACCTAAAGAAAAAAAAAGAAAAACAAGATAAACGTAATTGCAATGACGTAGAAAGTCATTCTGCCTACTCAACTGAAATATAATCGAGGAGTGGTTAGCGCAACGATTGTAGTTGGGGTTTCTGCATTTATCTACATTTCGTGTGGTCTCCACCAAGGATGTGAATTTGTTCTGAATATTAGAATAAAACTATTAAAAATACTCTCTTCATAGTCCAACCGTCGACCGACGACGAATCAGTCTCGGCTCTCTGTCAACGTACGACGCGACGGCGCGCCGTCTGCTGATAGATGTTGGCAGTCTGAGGGTATCGTCATTCCACCCGCTGGGCTTGGAGAGGTAGAAATGCGGTGAAATGATAGGAAAGGTCCATCATCGTAGTCTATGATGCAGAGCGTCATTCAGTATCCAGCCCGAAATTCGAACTGCGTTACCGATGCACTGAACGACATCTTTCGTATTCGTGACACACTGATTCGGTTTTCTGATCGGTTCAGTAGGCTTTTCGTTCCGAAAATTCCGATAGGTGTGAATGCACTTCTACAGAACCGTCTCAGACCGTATAGACCAGATGGGTAAACTTCACGACCATTCGACTTTGGGAACTAAACAACATTTTGGTAGTGGTGTTTTAAGGGTGCAGCAGTTAAGTAGAAACATTCAGCTTGCGAATGTGTAACTCAATAAATCATGTATTATATGTGGATAAAGGTACCATATTCATCGAAGATTCACTTAAATTCAACTCAATTCAATTAAACTTTAATGTCAATACTGTAGAAACAGGAAATAATTCATTGCACGTGAAAACAACAATATATAAAAAATACAATACATATAGGCGCACAATAAATTATAATACAGTATATCAATTCAAAGGAAACAAATAACGGATAGGGACCTACATTATATAGACACCAAAGGGACAGGCCATAAATGTATAGGCACCATAAAAGCTGCAAGAATCCCTACCTACTACAGAGCAGTTGGTTAAATTTAAAAGAGACGAGATCTACCGGACCTTCGGTAGAATTAAGATTTAGTGCCGAAAAATTGGGAGATCTTCGTATGCCATTTTGCGAGTGTATCAACCTAGAGTGGCTTATTGAAATAAAGGAAATTCAGGGCGGGTTCCAGAATTTGGAAAACAAGAGAATACAGGGGATAGGACCATGGATCCATGGTTTTTCAATTTATTTTAGTGAATAAAATGGATAATTTTAACAAATAGGCGTAAGGAGGAGTGGTGTACCGGTAAGAGCTATGACTCTCTCAGAATCAGTACAGCTTTAAACGTGTTTGAATCTAATCAACACATTGCATTTCAGGCCTAATGTAATGCCATACTAAGTTATTGATTTCAGTGACGGTATAATAACATGACAACATTCATGTTCCTTATATTTCACCAACACTGTACAGTATTACCGTATGCTGTGACCGTGAAGGCATAAGTTAAACTTAGTGCCTATTCCTCCATGCTTCGGCATCTTTTCCAAATGTCACACGACACATGGTCCATGACATCACGCGACTCTGTAGAATTAAAGGACTCAAGCCTAATAATCTTATTGAAGTAACGAGAAGTTAAATTTAGGCTGAGTGTAAATCTCTATCTAATTATTGATGATATGATTGCATTTATCATTACCATTCATTGTCCTAGCATTGTCTCCCACGTAACCTTCTGTGTATTAACGCAATAAACAACATCCAACACTTGAGTTCACTTATTAATTTCGCGTACTAAATACAGTAATATGTAATTAAACCTAGTTGGAATGTAATGTATGGCAATATTTAACGACATCTACAGCCAACGTAAATTTTGTAGGTTTATTAAATTAAGACATGTATTGATTAAATGTCATTGTACTGAGAGAGATATGGTTTAATTCTTCAACACGAAATTACTGTTTAGTACTTCAATAATTAGGCCCCTATATCTGCTAGGCATATTGAGTAAATTTAGCGAAATCGATGGGCTGCACTCGAGTGGGCTGGATTACAGATTGAAAAACGATGACTCGAGCGTTAATGGACAAAGGGAATGGATAACAAATTAGAGAATGTTGACTCGAGCAATAATGGACGGAGAGGCGTGATGGCAAATTCAGGAAGTAATGGCTTGAGCGGTGATAGACGGAAATGAATAATACAAAAATTTTATTTGAAAACAACAAATTTCTTTGAAAAACTGACATGACCTGGTATTCATAATCAAAAGCCTATACAGATCTGTATATTTTGTTCAGACAAACGTTCATAAAAATAATAATTTATGTTACATATTAGTCATTCGTAGTTGTTGCCTTTTTTAACTTAAAAAGCGGGGTTTTGACTATAGACGAACGGTGAATAATGGGGAGGGGGGTGGGGAAATTAATTTGTCCCTCCTACTTTGAAATGTGGTCTCCCCTGCCCCCGCCGATCGACGTCCATGGACACTCTTATCACAGATACAACCACTGTACATTATTATCTTAATTGTGATTCCCCAAAACGCGCTCAAAATTTACCAACTTGTTGGGGCTCAGCCCCCTAAAATGTTAATCCTGAGCAATGTCATCTTTTCCTTCTCTCTGAGAGCCTATTGGTTATGGATATTAAACATACAAGTACAACAAGCGCCCATAATTTATTTACCGCTACAAAGTAATGCATCCCAAATTCACCATTTATAACAATGCAGAAAGTGTGGGTGTGCGTAATGATATTAGACATACAATAATAAATTATGATGGTAATCATCAGTATTGTGACTTCCCCAGAGATGTGTACTCTCGAACATGACGTAGTAATTACATCATGGAAGACGATGCTCTATAAAATTCACATTGGCTGCGTAACCATCTAAAAACAAAACAATATTAAAATATATTGATAATAATATAAAAATTATATTGTATGATGATGATAATGATGATGACGACGACAGAGGGCGGTGATGATGGCGAAAGCGATTATGTATAAATGCCTAGTATATTATTATTAACTGGCCCATACCTCATGATTGGCCTTATAATTATTATTAGGCCCTATTACTATTATTACTATTAGGCCTATTATTGAAAATTCTATTATTATTAACGTAAATATTTGTGTTGATGACGATATTTATTTAGATTGTGTGAGTGATTGCACTTGTTTTTTTTTCTTTTGTAAGTCTTGGCACAGGTAGGTTTAGAATTGAGCTGAAGTATCGTATAAGCGTCCTCAACACCAAATTTCAATTGAGAGAAAGAAGTTTCGTAACATGGTTAACAAGAAGAGGTAGTTGTACCCTATAAAATAAGGCATTGTCCATAAACACATGCATGGACGAGACGACTGTGTATACGAAGAAATTATGATAATGTTATGATGCAGGCTATATGATGCATGTCCGCCATCTAGAGTCCTTGCGGTCTCTTCAGAATGATTACCATAATGATTCGATTTATTAGTTTTAAAGAGATGCGAAATTACCAACATGGAACACGTGCATCATTATAATCGAATTATCACCCAACATTTCGGTTAAACAATGTTCGGATTCCATTGGGAGATGCATTCAACGAAACACGGGATGGCAGGCGACGCTGCCACAGAAAATCGTGACACGCGTTTGGAATAATTCGCACAACCAATACGGATATTTTTCGAAAATTTAAATCTAAAATTAGTGTTGTGCGTCTGTCCGACTGAAAGTAATTAGTATGGTAGCATAATCTACATGTAGGTATAATGTCATTTGTATGTTAAAATGCTGTAATTCAGCGACCACTGACGCAGAAGCTATAATCTTTCGAAAGGTCACTTGGGAGGAAGTTTTTCGTTTTCAATTTGTTTTTTTACAAAGAAAAGGAATTGATAAAATGTGAATGACCCGCTTAATTCTTCCACTTATTGCTGAATGGGAGTTAAAAGCGTTCGTCTGTTGCTCCTACTCCTGGTTATGGATATAGCAATGAACTGCAGTATTGCGCGCCTCTTTCTTGTAATTGGCGTTTTCATTCAGAGAATAATGAAAGCCTTTGAAAAATATACCACTATAACTAGTTTTTACTCTATCGTACTATTTTAAATTTAAAATGAAACAAAAACCCCTGCAAATCAACGGATTTTCCATATAGACCCTTAAATTGGCTGGTAATCATTTGTAGAATTTTTGCCAGTCGCCCCACACCCCCTCTCCCATTGAACATGTTCTAAGAAAAGAAAATATCACGATCCCTGCAGTTAAGTCACCTAGCTCCCCTTCACCAAATCATCGAGCTTCTTCCCCCACTTCACCTTTGCGCTCGCCATCAGCCCCCCCATCCATTACAAGATTCCTAGAGACGCCACTGTACACCACTTCTTATCCTCATTGAATTTTATAATGTTCTTCATTATCGAGTATTAAACAACTCAATAGATAATGACATAGACCTATTTACATTTGGAAATGTCTAAATTCTCAGTTTTATCTGCTCGTATCCAGTAAGGCCACTTACCTGAATTGGGAAATTCCACTTTTATGATCATCTCTGACAGGGACAGGACTTAATTAAGAGTTAATTTATAAAGTGTATGATATATTGTGACTTTATTTCATGACGCAACACCATGGGTAAGCTTATATTTTATAGTCTTGTATTTTGTTAAGCATCATGCTAAAATATCACACCGAAATGTGGTAATAAAAATGTCTTATCCTATGTGTCAAGTCGTCAAATACACTGAGCCTGTCAAATTTGACCACTATTCTGTAATTTTGGTTTAACACATTTTTGCAGACATTTTATAACTAATTTGCTTGTCAGGCCCCCTACTCAAGGAGCTATTTTAACTATCTGTAACTAACACAAATGTTACGGTTTAATAAAATATTTTTGTAACAAACGATAAAGAATTTTGCTACAAAACAGGAAATTGAAATAATAATAATAGTAATGATGATGATGATGGTAATACTTTCAAAATTATACTAGGAAGCTTTCGATTGCACGAGGACGGTAGGACGTAAAACGTTACTAAAAGTCATCTGCTCATGCGATCGGAGAATGTTAAGGTCACCTCGTCGAGCAGATTCTGGAACGTAATTTGTCCAAATCAACGTATGCAGAGAACGTAGGACGCAGGTAGGACGGTCACGCATGAGTGATTCCGTTCTAGCGTCGCGTCGTCGCACAAATCAAAAGCTCTATACACTGTCTGTTGTTAAACCTGAAAAAGGGGTCTCTAAAAGTTTTAAAATAATCTGTTAGTGGTACTGGTACACATTTATATTCCTGGGTGTAGAAAAGCAATGCAGATAAAGTGTCTTCCTCAAGGACACAATCGAAATGCACAGCGAGGGATTGAAACCCCGATCTCGACGTTAGGAAACCAAATCGTTCCTGCTCCGCCAAACCGCTTCAACAAGTAATCAACACCCAATCAGATACAGATAAAACATTTTAGTTTCGCTGATTTACAGTGTTTAGCTAAAAATCCTTTAATTGATTATCAGGCAATTTAAGGATGTTAAGAATAGAAGAACGTAGTTTTTTTTGTGTTATATTAAGCTCTGTCTTTGACAAATTGTTGTAGGCCTGTATATTATCCATGCGGTGGCCATGATGTGATGTCATCATGACCATATTTAGGCATGTCACATGTTTTTGTCAAATAAAACTTGGTTGTCTGGACAGGACTTAAATTGGCCAGAAAAATATTTTCTCGTTTAATTTTCAGTTGATTCAACTTACTAAAAAGTATTTCAAAGTTTGGTTTTAAAGAATGTTTGAATAAAAAAAACAAAAAAAAACCCCCCAAAAACAATAAGGCCCATAGCCATTTCTTTAAACTCAACATTTCTCATCCAAAGTAAAATGGCATTTGATGTGTCAGCAATATATAGGCCAACTGGTAATAATTCTTATATCTTGAAGGTAAAAAGGACATGCGAGGCTATACAAACAAAATTGATGAATTTACTACATGCACCAGATATGTAAATGAATACAAAAAAAAAATCGATTTGCTAGGATTATATATAATTCACGGCTGAATAAATTTCATTCGATATTATTCAATTTTACCATAAAAAATGAACGTACCCAAAAGCGAAAATAAGCATACAAACGTAGCCTCACATATAGCTCAGTTGATTCAACCGAAGGGTATTCTATCTAAAATTTCTTTCTCAAATATTCTATCATAAATTTAGAGCCCATTTTTCGACATATGCCCCCGGACTATATCATTATATCAAGATTAAAACAAAAAATAATGACGATATACTACATATAAGATTAACTGAGTTGTGAGAGTGTACGGTACTTTTTGAGTACTAATTTTTCATTTTAGGAGATCAAATGGTCGTTCGCAGAGATTTGTTGTTTTTTTTATTTAGTATGCAGCACACCTTACATGAATTTACTAGCTAGGCCTACGTAGATGTTTGTTCTGCACGTCACTTATTTCCACAGTGCCTACCGTAGGACAACTAATAGAAGATCACTATTTTCTTGTATTACACTCATGTCTCAGTTCTAACGCATCACGTACAATAATTATGCTTTTAGAAATGTCCCTGCTTTAGTATGTTTTCTCCATGTGGCATTAACTGTAGTAATCAGCTTATGCTTTATTTCTAATATTCCACAGGCAATATGTGGGCCCAGCAGTGGGACAATATTTACGATATCGTAAGACCGTTTCCAGATTTAGAAAGCGTCGATATAACTCCAACGATGCGCGAGCAAGACTACACAGTCCTACAAATGTTCCACATCGCAAACAACTTCTTTACGTCTATAGGCCTAACAGGAATGCCACCCACCTTCTGGAAGAAATCTATGTTTGTGAAGCCGAGGGACCGAGACGTCGTCTGCCACGGTTCAGCTCACGATATGCAGAAAGGAAATGATGTCAGGTACGACTGTCGCTCTTAGTTTTTAATAAACACTTGATTTCCTAATCATCGTAAAATACTTAAGGCCTATATGTTTTACACAGTATAATCGATCAATCAACCGATCTATCAATCAATCGTTAGATAAAAAAAAAATAAACTAATCATTCGATAAATGAATTTATAAATCAATAAATAGGTAAATACATCAATCAGTCAATTATTCAACTAATGTATATTAAATGATCAACTGGTTACTCGATCAATCAGTCAGTCAATATGTTGATCAAGCAACTTACCAATCAATCAATTAATCTAATAATCAATCAGTCTATGAAACATATCCAAATAACGGCCATAGTTTTTACATGGCCTTTGTATAATGCTATATCGACTATGAGGAGTGCCTTCCATGACTTACTGAGGTGAAAAGAAAAAAATAACACTGAGATACTGAGATATAAGAGCAGTTTTGTGTACCGATTGTGTTAGTGGTTCTCACCCTTGCGTGCGAGGATCAATCCCTCGCTCAGCATTTAGATTTTTTTCCGTGGACAAGGCACTTTAACTACGGTTGTTTTTCTAGGCCTATTAGAAGTGCAAATGGGTACTTGGTCGGCTCAAACACACAATGAAGCGCTGGAAAGTTCCAGGAAGCTGAGTATGTGTTCCGTACTTGATGACCGGTGGGGGGGGGGGGGAATTAGCGCCTAGATGACTTGTGGGCATAACGCGCTATAATACTACGTCTGACAATATATTACCATCATTTTGAAGTAAAACTACTTTTATATTGCAGGATCAAGATGTGTACTCAGATAAATTATAATGACTTCTATACTGTTCATCACGAGATGGGACATTGTGAATATTACCTCCAATACCGCGATCAACCGTTGGTTTTCAGGGCTGGAGCTAACCACGGATTTCACGAGGCTGTGGGAGACACTATCGCACTCTCAGTTGTCACACCCGACTACCTCAACAAAATGGGTCTACTCAGCGTAGAAAAATTTACAGATCGTAAGTGGGCTAGGAATTTAAAATGTTGAATTATTGAGACCTTTAATAATTTGCGAGTCAATGTATTGACGACATGTTAGTTAAGACACGTTGAACTCCGTGGGATATGGCCATGGCTTGATGTTCTAGAGGAGCGAAAACGATATAATAATTATGTAGGGCCTACAAGGTAAACTGGGCACAGATTTATGTATACTGTAGGTCCTTTAACATCAAAATATCTCCAAAACCTTTACCGTACTTTTACTGGCAAATCACAAAGTAATAATAATCATACTGATAGTAGTTATAGACAGCACACTTTGATCACCTTCTCCTAAATGCAGGGGCGGATCCAGGATTTGGCAGAGGGGGATTCATTTTCCCATAAACCCAAAAATGAAAGGGGGTCCGGGGGTCCTCAAGATAATATATGAGTACCGGTAATTAAGCAAGTCGTTATAATGTTTTTGGTAATTTCAAATTCTACTTTTTGTTACAATATATGGTAACAAATTCTGTAACTTTAAGCAAAGAATTCGTACATAATTATCAATATTCTGTTCACATTGACATAATTTTCTGATAGATAAAGAAATTAAATAACATTAATTAAATGAAATATATTTAATGAGGCGTATTTGCTACCATCAACCGTAACACATAATTTGAAATAAGAGTAGGCGTATCGTAGAAGAGAATTACTAATGGGCATTGACCTCAAAAGTACTATAGAAGTACAGAAATAATACTTCCGCTACTTGCCGGGGTGTTTTTTCGTGGATGCAGAGAGAAATATGGGTATATAGAACAACTAGAAAATAGGTGTGATATCGAAATTCCAAAAGAGGAAACATGTTATAAAGATATCCTGTTTTCTTTCCTCTAATTTTTTTATGTAAAACAGGATTTAAACTTTCAAAACGTTTCTACAATGTGTATTTAGGCTTCATCAATACTGCATTAGTCAATTGATCGAATAACGCTTTTGTATCATCGACACACCTTTTTAGTGTAACCTTACAACGACTAGACAATAATTAATTGATATAGAGAAAACACAAAATAAAAAAAAAATATGTTCTCTCTCTCTTATAAAGTATAATGAAAATAACCTGATGGAAAAACAAATCAATAGGAAAACTAGGAGGAACAATGCATCGAAAAAATGGGGTGGGGGAAATAGCATGGGGAATAACTCTCTATGTAATAAAAAAATCCTTGGGGAAAATTAGCAGGTGGCTAGTAGCCACCGTAATAGTGCTAGGCCTATATTCTATAAAGTAAAGCCTCAAACTACCTCGGTTTGGAGTCTACTAATTTAAAAATCTTCCCAGGCTTTTCCAGATATAGCTAGAACTAACTTAATCTTTGGCGTTTTTTGATAGCAGATTATTTTTTTAGATTTCAGTGGGCTAACCCCGACTCAAGACAAGCTTGCGTACAAACTAATATGCACATTCATATAGAAGACATGTTCACACGCATGATCTTTTTAAAATTAAAAATCAAAATTTTAAAATAGATAGACATTTTAAAAACAAGGACAAAAAAAAATTCTCCCATATTACAGAAACTTTTTTTTGGATGAAGTTGAAACTAATACAAAAACAAATTCTTTTTGATTTAAAATATGTTTTTAAAATGAATTAAGAAACATTAGAAAATTCAAGATTAAATACATTAAAAATAACAAGCTTCAGTTCTTTTGACTTTTGGTAGTTAATATGTATATATTTTTTAGGAATTTCGTTGTAGTCTTCATTTATAATGAGAAATTATTTATCAAAATATTTAATTTAATTTGTTTTTATTTTTGGATAGCTTCATGGGTCAAATTTGGCCCGCGGGCCACCTATTAAGAACCATGGTCCTACACGTTTGGAGTCCATAATAGGTCGGCCTTACCCACCACAACCAGAACCAGTTAACCATACCAATCAATTTTTAGTAACGCTTCAGTAAATTAAGTACCGTATTCACGTAAATACTGTACTTACCTGACTGCGTGCGTGTTTGATGCTGACAACTGCAGTTTCAGTCAATAATCAACATTGGTTGTGACATGAACGCACAAGACCGCACGCACCGCCGAAGCTTTCGGTGAATTGAATCTCAAACGAGATAACGAAAGCTCTTTAATGACTCAAGTTACTGCATGGTTGTTTTATATTTTTAATAAAACTAATTTCTTCTAATTTTGAATATATTTTCCCTGAATTCGTGATTATTTGTCGTCATGTGTAGACTAAATGCGTGACAAATTTAAGATCACGCATGTGTTTCTGCCAAATGCGTATCATCCAAAATCACTTTGAAATGCAGGACCGTCCAGCACGATGCGAGACGGTTGGTAATGCCTTTTGTAAGCCAGGACCCAAAAGTATTTTGTTACGTTTCTTCGCAGAGGGGTGTTTGTCCGAACCCCTTGAACCCCCCTGGATCCGCCACTGAAATGTACTACCCGTACTTCTTGTTTTTGTCTTTGCTCGGTTTTTAATTTTACCCCTTTTACAATAAAAAAATGTTTTGCTTGTTTTAGGTCATGATATTGACTTTCTTCTGCGACAAGCTCTTGTCAAAATAGCGTTCTTACCGTTCGGATTTATGATCGACAAATGGAGATGGGACGTCTTTCGAGGTATTACCACCCCAGAGGATTACAATTCCAAGTGGTGGGAGCTAAGGTAAGTTCAGCTAAGGCACTTTTTATGGAGGTTTTTTTAAAAAAGAAAATTGAGCTAAAATTTAGATATTTTTTTGCTTGATAAAAACTACCACAACACGTACAAGCACAATTGAAGTTGAATTTTTGAGACTAAAAATGAAGGTACCACGAGTCATATTTTAACACGCTCATAACGCTTATTGTGGCAGACACGACTTTTTTGTGTAGTCTTTGAAACGGGAACTTAATTTAATCGTATATTGGCCCGACTGTAAAAGTTACATTTCAATCTATTGAAATGACCACTAATTCTAGAATTCCTGTAACGCTTTAACAGATACCACAATCATTGCCATTTAAGAATCATTTCAGCTTTCGGACCCCTATAAGCTGAAGTTCAACCTATTCACCTTTTTTTACTGTGACAGTGGTGTAATACTCGGCCCGATTTCTTCGACTAGCTCGAAGTCTGAATTGATCGATCTGCATAATAAAAACACACACTTCATTCATACATATTGTGAAGTCTAACAAGTTAGCTTATCATAATAATCTTTCAGAACGAAATATCAAGGAATCGAGGCACCCGTCGAAAGGTCGTCCACCGACTTTGACCCAGGTGCTAAATATCATATACCATCGGGAACACCATATATTAGGTAAACAATTATTAATGTATCGCCCTAAATATATATAATTAAGTAAAAATAACATGAGTAAAAATAATTGTAACAGTCGTTTTAAATTGAGTTACTTTTATTGATTATGCCAAGTATTATTATTGAAGACATGTATCCCAAGACATAAATTGACGTGGATGTCGAAGTGTGGCTGGATCATAGAGATATAATAAGAATACTAGAGCGCTAACAGCAATGTATTCGATGTTCGAAATACGCAGAGCTCTGTGTGTGTACCATCCAAGATGGCTGCCATAGATTCGGCCAATCAAATTTCCCCTGAGCACTATAATTTTTAATTGCGCCCTCAATTTACACAGAAAGTTCAGTACAGCTAGTTACCCGTATTTTGAAACTCGAGCGTTGCGGTGTATGGGCGTAATGTACATGAATTTAATTCTTTTTAATATTTGAATAAGATGATGCTCTACTTGGCCTCTTTTTGGCTATGACAGTTTAATAATTTGTCATTATCAATACTAATTATCATTAATGAAATAATATTCAGTCAGAGGGCTTATTTATGGTAATAATATGTATACTAAGCCTGAAGGTGGCGCTTTCCTACGGCAGCCATCTTGGATGGTACACATACACAACTGTGCATTGCTCCGCCATCTTGTCAGCACTCTAGTTGTTTAATACCTCTATGGGCTGGATTCACCAACGTACATCTGTTGTGAACCATTCTGTAAATCTGAAAGATAATTAAAAACGTTTAATTATAGGCCTATTTGGTTTATACATTATCTAGGAAGATAATACCAATGTAATACACTTGCATGTGCATCAGGCCATCATTTTTAATGCTACAATACACGATTCGTCGTTCACATCACGAACTAACACAATCAAAGTAGACTGTGTTAGTTCGTGAAATCACAGTAGCACGTCAAAACGAGCGCGTATTGGTTGTCAAGCAAGTTTGTATTCTTTACCACACAAAAAGGCCTTAACGACAACAGCGCGTATTTTGACGCGCTTTTTTTATTTCACGTGCACGAACTAACACAATTGAATTTAATTGTGTTAGTTCGTGATGTGAGCGCCTATACTTTTGTAATCAGAGGACAGTACCTTAACCCTTCCCACGACTTTAAGATTGAGCCCGACTAAAAGCTGCTATACCAACCGATTTAATAATTATATTCAACGAATTTTTATGTTTTCAGGTATTTTGTGAGCTTCCTTATTCAATTTCAATTTCATGAATCGCTGTGTAAAGAAAAAAATCACGAAGGACCGATCCATCGATGTAATATCTACCAATCAACAGCGGCTGGAGATAGGCTTGGGTAGGTTGTTGAACGATGCATAATTTATATGCTTTGATCATTAAATCCAGGGGTCTCGCCGGCTATAGGACTGCCCTGTTAAGTATATTTTATTCAAAACGTTACAACAACAAAATACCGAAGTGTCGAACTGCAGGCAGTTCCACAATGTTCCGATGGGGAACAGTACGGTACTTGGTCAATCGTATATCATAAGGCTGCACCGCATTCAATGCAAACCCAACTGCAGGATATCTTTGTACGCCGCCTGACGTGTGAACAGGTTTACAGGTACCTGTGAACTCAGGGAGGTCCCTGTGGATAGGAAGGTTCTAGTGGATAGGTAGTACCAAAAATGTATCTACCTTTTAAAATTTGGCGCACCACCCTTTACATTTTATGGACAACATTTTTTGAAATTCCGCCACTCTTTAAAAAATTCCTGGCGAGCGGGCTGTTAATCTGTTCTTTATGTATTCAATACAGTACTTGTATACAACTAACAACTGCATACTGCAGTCAGAAAGTCATTTTTTTGAGATTTTGATAGGCCTATAATTGATTTGCATAATTTCATTCTACAGTGCTATGCTTCGTATGGGGGCGAGCCGTCCATGGCAGGACGCTATGCAAGAAATTACAGGACAGAGAAAGATTGACACGTCATCAATCAAACGATATTTTGACCCTTTGTTTACATGGCTTCAAGAGCAAAATTACGGAAAAGACGTCGGATGGGATTAACAACATAGCTCAACAATATTTTCGACGCATACCTGTTTATATGTTCGTACTGTCCACTACTATAACATATATTATATTATCGCTATATTTTAAAATTTTATTTTTCTCGTATGCATCTGTGAATTGTATCAAAACATTCATGTATGTCGTGAAAGTATTAATGTCTGGTGCGAGATATTCGGGTCCATAGTGGCTTCACCATCTTACACCTCTCGATCTCGATAAATTGGTAAAATTCCAGAAATATGATAAATCGTCATATTGTTGTTATTATTATTATTATTATTATTATTATTATTATTATTATTATTAGTGGCGTACCTAAGGGAGGTCTCTTATACACATCTAGATGT